AGATGGTCAGGGCCCCTGGGGAGGAGGCAACACATGCTGTAGGGGCTGTGCACAGGGCCTGGCGTGGAGCCTGGTTACTGAAGGAAGATTGGACAAAGGCCCTGCAGCTTCGCTTTCTCTGTCCTATTTCAATCCAAACCACTCAGGACTGACCACTCACGCATGGCTGCCTCTGGGCACAAGCCTTCTCTTTCTCAAACACTTAATACACTGTGACCCAGCCACCAACCCTGCCTTCCCAATTGCTGAGAAATGAAAGCTGGCTTCAAAAATTTTGACATCCAAGAAGCCATGAAAATGAAAATGTATGTGGCATAATCATGAACTCTGAATGATGCCCAATGCTGTTGGGAGCAGGAGTCCTAAAAAGGGAATGATACTCTTTGGAAATAACCCCTACTGGGGCTGGAAAGATAGCTCAGTAGAATAAGTGCCTGCTGGCAAACACAAGGTCCCGAGTTCAATCCCCAGTACCGGGGTGGGGGTGGGGGGGAATAACCCCTACCTCTGTCAGCCCCATACATCCCAGCAGAAGGGCCAGAGCCCTGGGTCTGTGAGCTCAGACCCCAGAAGGGTAAGGTCCTTGGAAGAGGGCACATGGCTGAACCCCTAGGCTCGGTGTATTTCCATACCACCACTTCCTCCATCTCAACCTTCCCTGTAGCACAGGGGTGTATCTGGGGTGAGCCAGAACCCACATCCAAGAAAACCCACAAGCTAAAAGCCCACTACTTGTGCTCTCCATAGGGCATCAAGAAAAGTTGAGGTGGGGGCCTGCCCCTTAGCTCAGTTCTTTAAGTGGTTGCTTCAACAAAGCAGTCAGGCTCAGGTTGCTGTGGTTCGATCCCCACAACTCAAGCCAGCCAAACCTGCCCTGAAAGCATTCGGAGCAAAAAAAAAAAAAAAAAAAAAAAAAGAAAAGTTGAGGGAGGGCCGGACAAATAGCTCAGTAGATTAAAGTGCCTGCAAGCAGGTGAAGAGGCCAGGGGTTCAATCCCCAGGCCTGCCCTGCCCCCCAGAGCTTGCTGAGAAGGCAATTGAGACTGGGCGTGGTGGCACATTCCTGTAATCCCAGCTTTTGGGAGGCTGTAAACAGGTGGATCACACTACAAATGCAATCTAGTAGTGAGACCCTGAACACTGTAGACCCTCTCCTAAAATACAATCAATCAATCAATCAATCAATGGTTGAGGGGGTAAGAGGGTAAGCTGCAGCAGGCATGTGTGGGGGAGCAGCTAAACTGCAGACACAGCCAGGTGTAATGAGTGGGAGTGAGCCCCAGGGTGCAGCTGTCAGCGGGGATCAGACTGACTGGGCAGGAAGCTGCCAAACTGATGCTGTAGACACGGTGGAAAGGATGTGACCCTGGGGCACCTACTCTTGGGCCAGAGGTTTTGAGGTCATTAATGTAAATACAGGAAGTGCCTGCTTTGAGGACAGAGAAAAGCCAAAAAGTGGGAATGATCTGGTCAAACCCTAGAGGAACAGCTCTTTCTGGGCTGAGGCCAAAACCCTGCTCTCGATGAGCTTAATCAGCCTTCTGCAACCTAGGCTGATTCATTTTCTGGGATGACTTTTATGTTTAGAGAGATAAAATTGAGTCTAGCACTGACTCCGACTCCCAGCTCAAAAAATAAATACGTTTAAGAATTCTAGACACTCTAGCATGACTCTGTGCCTCTTTTATCCACAGCCGGTGACATGCTGGGGATGGCTGAGTTGGTACAAACTCCAGACACCAACCAGAGGCATGCCAGAGTGACAGAAGTCCTCAGAAGCAGTCCAATTTGGAGTATCCTGAGGGGAATGGGTTCGTGTAGGAGTAGCAGCTCTGAAGCCACCAGGTCCCACTGTCTTTCCACGTGTATGACAACCTGTGCACACTTTTTTGTCTCAGCTCAAAGGGGAATGGACTTGTCCAGGATCATAAAACTGGATTCTAGTTGCAGTTTGCAGTTCCCTTGGATACAAATCACCAGACAGCAAGTGAGGCGTGGAGGAAACATCAAATATGATTGTGCAAAGGCCAGGGTGCCAGCTGGCACTGGTCTAACCCAGGCGCTAGCTGCCTGGGCTTTCAGCTTCTCTCCATGTTCTCCACTTCCTGTGGCCCAGGGCCTGGCAGGGCACTGCAGATCTGGAATCCGGGCAGCCATTCCAGTTGCTGGTACAGGGTGGCTCCCTGTCCCAGAGCAATTTCACTCTGGGAATTTGTAGCCACGCCTTGAAGCTACAAGGGTACCCCCGTCTTTCTTTTTGAGCATGTTGAGGGGTGGGGAACAGATGCTGTTCTCTATTCAGGATCAATACTGATAGGTTTTTCCAGCAGCACAGTAAAGACATAGGAAAGATAAGAGAAGCCTTTGACTCCAAAGACATGGAGAAGATCGGGGCAGATCCTCTGGCCTGAGACAAGGAAAGCTGTGGCTTTTATGGACTACTGCTAGTGGGGGAGCTTGAGGGGGATGTTCAGAAATACCTGCAGGTGACTGGGGTCTTTCCTATGGTGGCAGGAAAGGTGAAAGGAAATTGTACCCTAGACTGGGTTGGAGATGGTGGGACATGGTCTCTGGGAAGATAAGCAGTTCCTTTAAGGGCTTCTGACATATTTGCTGACCAGCATAATAATTCAGCAATTCATACTACGGCCAGAACCTATCAAATACAGCAATTATATTGGAAGCTCCTCGCTGACTCCAGGGGCAAACATACAACATGAATGCCAAGGACTCACCATGAGGACCAAAAGGCCATTTGGGGCCCTGGGATGGAGCCCACTGGGCAGGAACACTGCTTGTGCAGTAGTAGCCTTGGTCCTTTTACCTCTGCTGAGTGGGACAGAGCAGAGGCTGGGTTTAGTAATGAGTTCCTATGGCTCTTAACACTGCCTAAAAGGTCATCCAACTCCTGGCAAGTCCTACAACCTCCTTCCTAAAATCTAGTGACACTCACGTGATCCTTCAACCTCACCATGAGAAATGGTGTGGTAGAGCTAACAGCATGCTGCATTAATTTCAGAGAACTGGTTCTGAGGGTTTGTTGCGGGAGGAGGAACCACAAGAAATACCTGGGGTTTTTTTTCTTGCCCTCTATTGTAGAGCAACATTCTTCACTTAAGCTTCAGCATGTAAATAATAACGAAAAAAAAAATCTGATTCTCAAACCAGGAAGTGTCCTCTAAGTACAGGCCATTGCCTTCAGCACTGTTCAGTGCCACGGAGAGCCATGCAGTCCTGCCTCCAGGACTAGGCACTTAGGGCATTTGTTTTTGACATTCTTGGCAGTGACATGACAATCGAAACAACTGAAGTTGCCCCTCTGGGGCAGGGACTGCCCATCATAAAGACTTAGGTCTTCAAACACACATTCTAATCGTGCTTGAATACCTTTCAGTATGACCCTGAAAATGAACAGGGGCTCAGTAGGCTTGCTGATCTAGCCACTAGCTCTGTACTCTTATGGGCCAAAGGAAGGTTCAGCAGTCGGGTACCTGAACACCCGTGTGGCCATCACTGTGGACTGAGCTACCAGAGAAGGGTCCATTCCCAAGTTCTCAGGGGAGAACTCTGTCCTAATGCAAAGCATCTACCTTTTAACATTTATTGTTGCTCAGTCCTTGGTACCTTAAGAGTTAAAAAGGAAGCAAGTACTGCTCTTCAGAGATGGGGAAACAGGTAAAGCCACATTAGGTAACTTTTCTTGGTTTACAAGGTAAGAGGTGAATTTATTTGGAACACAGTTGACCCAACCTGGAAGATCCTATAGCACCTCTATGACCAGATGGGTGCTAGTGCGAGGCAAGGTGATGCCTCAGCCCTCAGCCACGGCCACAGCCAGTCTAGAGAAGTCATCCAGGCTTGGGGCAGGGGAGACAGAGAGGTGGCCTCCAGTATCTGAAGACTGGCTGCTGGCTCAGCACACAATTGGCTGAGGTCTGCTGCTAAGGGAAATACCTACCAGAGTCTTTAATAAACTGAAACATAATGAGTAAAGGCCCCCAGTAATGTGCTTTACTGGGGGGAAGGGGGGCTGTGTGGCATAAGGATGAGATGCTGTGAAATGAAAGCACTGGGCTACCCACTGAATGCCCTCCATCCTCAGCTTCCTGTGCAGCGAACATGCTGCATACCCAGGTAAGCCACCCCAGGAATCAGTGACAGGAAATACAGGCTTTCCTGTTCAGTTTGCACCAGCACTTTGTTTGGACAGGGACAGATCATCACTTAGGTATTGAAAGCAAGTTGTTTAATCCAATCATTACTTTCTAATATTTAACCAGGATCTGATCAACAAGTTTATAACCACAGAGCAGTCAACGAGACATTTGAAAGGACAACAAGCAGGATTATGACTCCACAGAAATAAAAGGACATTTATGGCAGAAAGGTAAAACCAATTCTAAACAAAGCTTGTAAATAAGCAGAAACGTATTTCCACACGAGGAGGATGAAGACATCCAAAGGGCAACCTATTTTTCAAGTAGAGGCAGCAATTTGTCCAAGCAGATGTTGCTGTATACATTCGAGGGACTAAATGGCCAGAAATACAGGAGTGGGGCTTGAGCTTCCTGATACATTCTGTGGGAGGCCAGTGTACTAAAGTGCACATGCGCAGCATTAGAGCCCCAATAGCCTGAATGTGTTCCCAGCTCAGAGAACACTGGACTTTACCGATTTGTGGCCACACACACAAGAATGGGTTTAGGTTTTCCCAGCGCTATTTCCCTATACAGACTGGCAGAGGCGGCAAAACTGAAGCTGCTCAGCACACTTCTTTGTAACCTGCCAACTATGAGTAGAGGAAAGGCCCCAGGATAGGGTTGCCCAAACTTCCAAGAGTAGTGCGGGGGCGTGTGGGTACAGATTCTAAGACTTCTGACGCATTGGCTTTGCTCAATCTGGGCGCATCCCTCCTATATGGCCGCCGTTAAGAGAGCATAATAGGCATCAGTCGGGAAGACTTTCTTAGTTATCAGTAGCAAACTGGAAAAAATGTATTTCTGGAGCTTAGTTATGTCGATCCCCAGAACATTTACACCCCTGTGCCTTAGGCGTTATTAGGCAAGAATTTTGCCATTGAGCTACACTAATGCCTTTCTAAAGAAAAGCTCCTCTATCAAGCACTCTGCACTTCTAAACAAGCCTTTAACTTGGAAAAGATAAGTTCCTTTGTGTGACGACTTTGAAGCTCTACCTTAAATTACTTGGAGCCAAGTAAAAGATCGAGATTTGAAAACTGACAGGGTCTCCCTAGATAGCATAGGGTGGCCTCCAGCTCGGAACCTCTTACTTTGGTGCCAACTACAGGCATGCCTGGCCACTAGGACAGGTTTGAGGAACCTGTGAGCAGCTCATTACCCTACACAGGCTCATTAAACACCCCCAATTCCTCAGGGGGCATAGACTGCGTATGCAGCAACACGGATGGGAAACAAGTGTTCAGCTGAAGCAAACAGCCATAATTATTCTGATAGAAAGCTATTCAAATGGGTTGCTTCTAAGGTTACTGGAGCTCAAATTAAAATCCGCCTCCTCCCTCCTTTATGAGTTCAGCCTGGGGGTAGGGTAGGGAGGCCTGGCACAAACTTGAGGCCACCGAGAATGTGAGATACCCGCATCAGCATCCAGGCTACAATTATACACATACATACTCAACAGAGGGGGAAAATTGTAAAAAGAAACCAATCCCAGCCTTAAGTTTCATTTAAAAACCTTCAATATTCTTAAGAATGTCTTCACTATTCACTGCTAATAACTACAATCCTGAGGGGATAAAAGGACATATTCCATCCGTATACCCCTTCCCTCACAAAGCTATCACAAAGATACTTTCAGGGCATTTCAGAAGCAGGCTTTCAAATAGAGAAGCATGATTGAAGAAACAGGAGACTTGGAAAACGAGAAGAAAATATCCAAATGCTCAACATTCTCTTCCAAGTAAGGAGGTCAGAATTTTCAAATGCGTAAAAAACTACTTCCCAGTAGCAACACTGGAGGAGGCTGATAATCATCGGTAGCAAACACTCTCCATCTTTTTCTGAGGTGTACCAAGGTGAAATGGCTGGGAAGGCAAAGTGAGGCACGAAACCCCTCACTCACTGCGGGAGGCATGGGGTGCCCCTCCTTTGCTCAACACAGAGCACTGGGCGCCATGCACGCGGTGGGGACGATGCAGCTGGCTTGGAGGAGTCTAGATGGGAAGACACTTTTCCACAACGATGGCAAGTTCTTCACTTTCATGCTTTATTGAAAGTAGAGTATGAGTCAAAGACAGGAATGGGTAAGCAGGTTATGGTCTCTAAAGAATCACTTTTAGTTCAGAGCAGAATGCTTGCTGTCCCATCTACTGTGATACAAATCCTTTATGGACCAGTGCGTCTGGTATGAAACTTGAGCAAGGAAATATAACAGAACTTTATTCCCTTCCATGACTATAAATCTCATATGTAAACATGATTTAATGTTGCTGGCTAATAGTTCCATTTTTACTCGCCCCCCTTTGCTCCCACTACCCCCTTTAAATATAAAATTTGAAACATGTCCTTCAAGTTTGATGTCCATCAGTGCAATCTGCTTTATTTGACATAAGGCATTTGGGGCAGTCACGTTTGAACGGGGTTTTTGCCTTTTGGAAGAGTCATGTCATGGTTTAATTCTTAAATCCACCTTTCCTTAATGCCCTAACCCGTCAAGCTCCTCTTCCCCTCTGGCGATTTCTTAGCAGTCAGCAAGTGTTCAAAGATTAATGTCCAAGTAGACCAGTACCTGAGAAGAGAAACACACACGGAGGTACGGCTGTGAACTAAACAGCAAGAATTCATGCATTCCGTTCGCCCAGATGCATCAGCAACAGGGAATATCCAATTTAATAATGAACACAGCAGCCCCTTGGAACTGAAGGGTAAGAAACATCTCGGCTGCCTCCAGGCTAAATCACATTTCTGCTGAAAGCCAGGTGCTTCCTATGTATGTCTCCACAGAGGTTAACCATGTTTTACTGATGTCCATTTGGTGGTGTTTTTTCAGAGATATTGTTCTGACCGTATCAGGAGTTCCTTTGTCCCGGTAACACACAGATAACACAGCTGTGCTGAGAAAACTGTTAGGGTAGTAGCTTTGTCACTTATTTGCTTTGGCAAATAACCCCTGGTCTTTGACTCAGATATAGTCCTTGGTAAAAAGCACACCCTTTCATGGACCTCTGGAGTGGTCCACAAAAGAATCGACGTGGCAAAGTTATCTGTAAATGAAAAATGTCTCCACTGGATGGATTTTAGTAAGCATTCTGGGTGTGGGTAACAACAGTGGCCAAGATGCAGAACAAGGCACCGACATGGCTCCAGCTGAAGTAGTAATTCCCCAAATCCCTAAATTCTAAGTAGATGAAGTAAACCTCTTCCGTGGACCTCACATAATTCAGCAAATTCTTCTCTCACTAAATCTTATCAGTTATACACAAAAGGTGTTTTGTAAAGGCTGGACAGATAGCTCAGCGGACTAAAGTGCCTGCTAAAGCAACTGCTTCGGCAGAGCACAGAGGTAGTGGTTCAGCCTCCACTGTGCCTTGTTGGCCCCACCCCTGGAGTGCACGGAGATGGCCACTGAGACTGGGCGAGGGGGTGCACACCTGTGATCCCAGCACTTGAGAGGCTGAAAATAGGAGGAGACCACTATGAGTCCGATCTACGTCGTGAGACCCTATACATCCTGTCCTAAATTCATTTTAAAAAAAGGTGTTTTGTTGTTCTTTTGAGACAGGGTCCCAGGGCTGGGGAGATAGCTCAGTTGATTAAATGCTTGCCTGGCAAGCACAAAGGCCTGAGTTCAATCCCTGGTACTGCAAAAAAACATAAAATTAAAAAAAAAAAAAAAACAACCCCAAAACCATAAGGAGACACAGCGTCTCAGATGAATAGCCCAGGGTGGCCTCGAACTCCATGTTCCTGCCTCAGACTCCAGTGCTGACATGACAGGCATGTGCCACCACACCCAGCAACACAACCAGTATTGCTCTAACAGAGACTGATAGAGGAACCAGAAAAAGGCTAAATATAAATCTTGAAACACCAGCAGCTAAGTTCCCAACCTTCCAAGAAATGAGCGAAGCAGAAGTTAAATGGACATTTGGCAGGAGAGTTCTAACACATGGGCTGCATCTGAGGCCTGGGTGCTGCAAATTATAATGAACAAGCTTGAATAAATTATGCCTTTAGCTAAAATTAATTCCTGCCAGGAGACTGCGATTGGATTAAATTTTAAAATCAAATTATAGCCTTCACTTTAATAGAGAATTACAGTATGATTCTGACATTCATGAACAAAACATGACAAATGGAACTTACCTTTAAACCCTTCCTCTGGCATACAAACTAAAAAAAAAAAAAAAAAAAAAAAAAATCCAAATTGAAGAGACTTGTCACATTAGACATAATAAGATCACTTCAATGACTTAAGATGGAAAGTTTAAAATAACTCTTAGTCACCTGAAACAATCATTTCCAAACTAATCTGATATTTCTGTCCTTATTTTTAATCAAAGCAATATATATGCATCATTTAAAAAGTCAACTTTTGGTGGATCAACCTGTGTAAACAGGGCCACACGTTTCTTTTTCTGAAAGAGGAAGAAGTCACTGTTGACTCTTACAGCACTTTTTCCTGGGATGCATCCTCCTCTTTAGTTTTACATGTTTACATTGCTATTATCTGACAACTTCCTGAATGGAAGACCAAGATTCAGCTCCTCCGCCAACTCAAGGCCTGCCTGCCAGCCCCTCCTCCTGACAGTGGTGCTGGCGGCTGCTATGGCCTCTGCCAACGCTACTTCGGCTGTGCTCACACTGCTTGCAGGGAAGGACTGTTGTTGATACCCTTGATGTGTGCTGGTTAAACTGCACGGTCTGTGTGTCTCTCCAGGTCCGACGACTCTTGCCTGCTCAGGAATTTCACTATCTTTCCACCCAGCTCAAGGACCCATAGGCCTCTTTACGGCATCCACTGTCACTTCCATTTCCCCACATCAACATGCCACTATTGTCCCATAGGCCAGGGTGGACCTTGATGGCTGCTGCAGGACACCTGGTTCTAAAATCTTTCTCCAATCCTCTTCTAGGACATCTTCTCCTATGTTACCAGTTCCACCGTCAACTTCCTGCTTGTTTCACTTTGTTTAGAACATATTCTCTGACAGAATATTGGCAGACAAACTTTGCAACAGGTTTGGAGGCACAACTGCGCGGTTAAGACCAAAATGTGTTCCACAAGGGTCCCTTGTCTTCCAGGCCCTTCCTCCAAGGAGTGTGGATCTTCCTTCCAGATCTGGGCTATTTCACTCTCCAAACGCTGGAGACTAAACCCATGGTCTCACATAAGGCAAGAACTCAACCACTGAGCTGAACCCTCAACCTTCATATTTTTTTGAGAAAGGATATTGCCAAAATTGCTCTGGCTGGCCTTGAACTTGTGATCACCCTGCCTGGGCCTCTAAACAACTGGAATTACAAGTATATGACACTACACCTGTTGGGATCTTATCTCTAGGTTTTCACTGACTGTATGAGATCCTTAAATTCTTTTCTTGGAGCCGGGGAGATGGCTCAGTAGGATAAGCGCTTGACTGGCAAACGCAAGGATCTGAGTTTAATCCCCGGTTCCGCAAAAAAAAAAAAAAAAAAAAAAAAAAAAAATTATTTTCTTCATTCTGGGAGTAATGAGCATGGAGCCGCCAAGGACCAGTCAGCTACCTATGGGCACTACCACTACAGCACTTCTTAGCTACTATGAATTTTTTTACTATTTTCCAATTGTTTCCTCTCTATATATTTGCCCCATCGTTTACTTTCCCTGCACTACATACAGGATTTTTTTTCTTTTATTTTTGTGGTACCAGGTATCGAACCCAGGACTTTGTGCATGCCAGTCAGGTGCTTATGCCACTAAGCTGTCTCTCCAGCCCATATACAAGCTGCTTTTGAGCTATTTTATGTTGTCTACTCTTCTCTTCCTGTTTCTACTGACAGGCAGGCTTTGATGCTATGACCTCAGTTCTGTCTGGAATACTGGCATTTCACTTTTGCCTACATAGATCTGAGGCACTAAAAGGATTAATCTGGCACAGGGGCTGGGGTTTTCATACCCAGGCCTGGTCATGCCGGCCCCACTACTGGGGTGTATTGAGAAGGCAATTGAAACTGGGTGTGGTGGCACGTGCCTGTAGTCCCAGCCCTTGGGAGTCTGTAAACAGGAGGATCGCTATGAGTATGATCTAGTAGTGAGACCCTGAACACCCTGTAGACCTTTCCCTAATAAATAAATAGGATTATCTGAAAACTCTGTTTAGGGAGTACTGGTGGGCATGGCTAATGGGTAGACTAGTCACCTTTATAAAATATCTGGTGATGGTTTTCTTGAGTTGGTCAGTTTCCTGGAAAGGAACTCCCTTCCCATCTATGGAGGCAAACATAGGCTGTGGGGCCCCTGCTGAGAGCCGGGGACCGTCTCCTCTACACAATGGGACACCTTTTTAGCTTACCTTCAGTCAAGTGCTAGCTAATAAACTCACATCCTAGTTGCCAATTTGAGGCACAAGTAGGTAAGAATGGTGACAGGGATTGTGGGCAGGGAGTTGTATACCAGCTTCTCCCAGGTTTCCAACACAAATTTCCTGTGCCTGGTTTTCTACCTCATTCCCACCCCAAAGGATTCTGGGTGCCTGTCTGAACATTACAACCCAAACTAGCTTTGTTTTGTGGATTTCTTCACATTGCTGGTTTGCATGCACTTTAATTTCCTCAGATTAACTAGTCATCCCTCTTTCTTTCCCACTTCCCAAATTTTTGAACATATCTTTCCTGTCCACTTTCACAGCATGCAGAAGCTGTTCAGGTTAAAAGTGAAGGCACTGTGAGCCAGTCTCAATATCTATGATCACACCTCCTGAACAACATAGACTCCGACAGTGAGGAAATCTTTACCTTGCATGACGTCATCCATTGCAGCATAATCTGCAATTGGTTCATCAGCCTAGAAAACAAACAAATGGTTCAGACACGTAAGGGGAAGGGAGCTGGGAAGAGTGGGCCAACTACTCACACTGAAATATGGTCCATGATTTTGCTACAAAACACTCAAGAAAGCCAAAGAGGAAAGTGATCGATGATGTAGAGTGTGCCTAAGGAGAGTCACCTGGAGAGAAAACATTCTCTCAGGCTTTCACAGAGAGCTCATTGGCCAAGCAATGGCTGTGACTCATCCACATGGCTGACACTGACAAAGGATCTACAATCTGAGGTACAGGGTCTCAGGATAAATCCTGAGGGGATTTCACTGACCTTATCAGACCCAAAAGCTACAACTCTTGTTGCATAGGTCCTGCTTTACCTTGGTCTTAACCATCCAGCAGTAAAGTATAAAAACGATATATAAGAAGTAAAACGATGCTGTTATGTTGAGTTATAGGAGACTCAGGGCAACAATTTCTGACATTGCCAGTCAAGCGGAAGACCCAATACTATTATGGGCTACTGGACTCTTTTAGAATATTTTGCTGAGTTTACATACCTACAATATTCAAATAATGGAACTTAACAAAAAAAGGGTATACAGATGAATGTCCATTTTGTATCTTTGTATTCAAAATGGTTAGGATAGATAGTTACATTCTCTTAAAGAATAGAGGGCTGGTGAGATGACTCAGTGGTCTAAAGCACCTACTTAGAACAAACTAAGCCAAGCAAAGCACAGGGACCGCGGTTCAATCCCCCAGCACCACATGCCAGCCAGCCCCGCCCCCTGGTGGGCTGAGCTGGCCACACACACAAAAGAAAGAAAGAAAGAAAGAATAGAGGGCTGGTGAGATGGCTCAGTGGTCTGAAGCACCTACTTAGAACAAGCTTAGCAAAAGAGCACAGGGACCGCGGTTCAATCCCCCAGCACCACATGCCAGCCAACCCCGCCCCCTGGTGGGCTGAACTGGCCACACACACACACACACACACACACACACAAATAAATAAAACATTAAAAAAAAAAAGAAAGAAAGAAAGAATAGAGTGATGTGTTCTAATGGTGTTTGTAAATAGGATATCATGTCTGCATCTTGTACAGCAATTAACCACTAGGAAGAATGTATGCAATGTGTTGATTATTGAAACTGTCCTACCAATTTGATTTGAAACTGTCTCATTGCTTTTTGTTTATCAATAAAATTATGGGAAAAAAAAAAAAAAAAAAAAAAAAAAAAAAACCACAAGAATCCTATCCAGTAGAGAAGTCTACTCAAGCCCCAGCCAGTGATACCCAGGGCAGTAGACATCCACTCAACTATGGGCCGACTCCTCATCTCAAAGAAAACGTTGGGTAGTAGTACATATAGTGTTTTCTGCCTCACATAAACACCCCTATAAGGGTCGGCCAAATAGCTCAGCATCCCTGGCAAGTACAAGGGCCTGAGTTCAATCCCCAGTTCCGCAAAAAAAAAAAAAAAATATCTCAGCAGATTGAAGTGCCTGCAAAAAAGGCAAAGGGACGGGAGGGGTGGTGTTCTATCCCTGGGCCTGCAGTACGGGCCCTGCCCCTGGGGTACACTGAGAGGGCAACTGAGACTAAGTGTGGTGTGTGCCTGTAATCCCAGCTCTTGGGAGGCTGTGAAACAGGAGGATCAGTACAAGTCTGATCTAGTAGTGAGACCCTGAACACCCTGTAGGCCCTTCCCTAAAAAAAATACCCAAACCACTCCTAGGTATGGAAATTTCTACATTGTCTGAGGTTAATAAAGTGCTTTAATCAGGCCCAGGGGATAGTTTAGCTGCATAAGCGCCTGCCTGGACTGGCAAGGTCCTGAGTTTGATCTGTGGCAAGAAACAGAAAAACATAAAACCTGCTTTAATTATTATGAATTAAATGCTCTCAGTTATACTGAGGTTGAAAAATGTGTTTCTCTTCTCAAAATAGTAATTAGGTTATAATAATTATTATTATTATTATTTTGCGTTTATTGGGGTTTGAAATCAGGACCCCTCACTAGCCAGGCAAGTGCTTATTCTCCTGAGCTATCTCCCCGGCCCATAATTACATTTTCAACCCTCTTCACCATCTAGAACACACACCTGTGTCTGTTTTGGAATTGAGTCTAAGTCTGAGCTTACACAGAGATGTTGTTCCCTTTAATAATACAAGTTGTTCTCTTAGGAGTTTAGAGAGAAGCTTCAGAACTCAGCGACTCCGCAGGCTGTCAACACCCCTCTAGATTCCACAGTTCAGGGGTGGGGCAAAGACATGCGTGGCAGGGCGCGCAGACATCACAGCACTAGACATGGGTCTGCCTCTGCTCCAAGCCTATCCTTAGTGCATGAGCACCACAAATCTACAGTTCCAGAAGCATATTTCACAGTTCACAAAATGAAAACTTTTACTGTGTATGCAGAACAGTTTCACGCACAGCGAGGGTGCTCCCGGACACTAAAAAACAGAAGCAGCAAAGGGAAACAACCAGGTGGTAGAGAAAGAAGGGTCTGGCTAGTGAGGGCTCAGCAACCCTTATTTTCTAAATCCAAAGCCAATTACCACACATCATGGACAGGAGGAATCCCACTAAGCTGCTGGAATTCTGGATTTGTGATAGAAATGTGTGACTTACGCATGTTTCCCAGCTTTCCTGGATACTAAAGGCTAAGCAACCCTAGACCAAAAAAAATCCAAACATTTGAAGTTCTCTGAATTTTACCAAGGTGTCACATGTGAAAAGCTCCACAATGACATGATGTGATGTTGTAGTCAAAACAAAGATGCACTAAAAATACTACTAGATCAGACTCATAGGCTGTTTACAGCCTCCCAAGAACTGGGATTACAGGCATGCACTACCACACCCAGTTTTCTCCCCACTATCTTTACTGGAATTTTCATTTTTTTTTATTAACAATGATTTAGACTTTAAAGTCTTTTTTTTTTTTTTTTGCACTGCCAGGGATTGAACTCAGGACCATGTGCTTGCCAGGCAAGCATTTATTCTACTGAGCGATCTCCCTGGCCCTTATTCATTATTGATCACATAATCACATTGGGAGGGAGAGGCGACATGTCGAAGATCTACCAGGCAGCTGTGTCAGTTTTTAAAGGATAAATCTCCACATAGACAAAACACAGTGTGGGAGGAATTAGAGGTGGGCATAAAAAGGTTGTGAACAGAGACCAGGCTACTCACTTGGCCCAGCAAACCCCCAACTGTGATTGCTCCTGGAGCCAACAATCAATCTAGCGTCTCTAGACAGGTCCAATATAATGTTGAACCCTAACCTCCCCTAAAAAACAAAACACAAAATAAAACAAAAAAAAAGAAGAATGTCTGTAACAGATGGGCCCTATCAGAGAGATTCAACAAGAAATCTGGCGTAGGGTCTTCCAACTGCTGAAGGGTCACAGCCTACCCCACTAAAACGGGAACCACATAACTATAATCCACATGGCCCTCACTGCAGGACACTGAGCTGGTTGATCCAGGAAGGAATGAGAGAAAGCCTTCACTTCATCTTCTAAGGGTATGGACAGTGGCTGACATTGGGTCACTATACCATACTATGAAAACCAGGAAAAACACAGGAGTATCTGACTTCTAACTGTCCTGAGACTACGCCAGAGTTGGGCCATCCTAGGGCAGTAAAGCTTATAGTGGTGACTAATCCCCTGGATTCTTTAACCACCATTTCACACCATTTACACTTCACCAAAACCTACAGTTCCTTGAACGAGGCAGTTGTTACTTACCTTTAATAAAATGACAGATTCAGGTATGACGCCAAGGGTACCAAGGGTGGCACAGTCATCATTTAAAATCTTTCCATCAATTGATAAATTCTGGTCAAAGGGAGCAACTGAGAATGCGTGCATGATCTGTAGCAATTTAAAACAAAGAAGAACAAAAAGTCTGCATAAAGCAAATTACTGAGACCTATACCCTACCTACCTAAATAAATAAAGCATGGAGTCTAAAAATTATAGACAAAAAGGCTTCAGAGTACAAAAGACAGGACTCTGCAGCCAGCCCACTTGTTACATTCCTACTGAGCCTATAATCCCTGACAGCCAGAACACCCTTAGGAGGTCTAGAGCAGAAAGGAAACAATTGTACACAAAGATCCTTTTGTTCTGAACCTTACCACCTCCCAGAGCTGAGGGTGGAGAAGCGAAGGAGGGAGGTACAGGCAGAGCAGGGCTTCCCGGTGTGCAGTTGCTGGGCGCTCTGGCAGTAAGGCCCGGGCACTGCTGACACTGTTGCCCTCCAATTCCCAGGCTACTCATTCTTCCACAGACAAGTCCCAGCTCATTCTTAAAACCATCTCTAACATACCCAGCAACTTGTTGTCCTTCCATGTTTAGCCCGTTAGCAAACACTCTGGACTGTGTAATTGAGTCCTTGTGACTGCCATCCAGTCTTAGACTAAGTGCAGGGGCCCTATGGCCCACATGAATCTTGGGAAAGTGTTAAAAATCAAATATATTCCCTCCAAACTGCTATGTACAATACTTAAATGCCCTTTTGAATTAAAAAAAAAAAATGTTATGTGCAAATTTTCACTTCTGGATAGTAATTACCTCTGGAGGGCAATACAGAGTAGGATTTAGAAAGGCAAGCACAAGGATCTTTGATAGATACTATTGTAATTCCAAACTGCCACGAGAAATTCAGGAATATTCATTATATTTTGCTTTATAATTCACTAACATGTGCTTAACCACATATATCTTAATTACACCAACATCCATGATGCACATGAAAACCATTTCATTTTCCGTGGAAAGGTTAACGTAAGTCCAGCAAATCAGCCCGGAACCAGTTGTGCGTGTAACAGAGCTTAAGCCCTTCCCAGCCTGGAGAGGTGCTAACCAGGAATGTGGTTTTACTAATGGAATGGAGATAAGAAAGAACAAGGGTAACAGCACAATGTTATCTGAGCTTCTCAAACAAAAAAGACATTAGCCTCTGAGAATCAGTAAGCACTAATGGCATGGAGATTTGCATGCCAACAGCACTAGCATCATCAACGACCTTCAGGAAGCAATATGCCTACTTCTCATAGGCAAAAGGCATCAACAGAGCAGCTCTCCCAAAACCAGCCCGGTATAAAAAGAACAGGCAGAAGCACCAGCCCCTGGCTAGCATCAGGAGCTGTGGGACACAAGCAGATCTGCAGACCTGTGAGGCTAACCAACTGAGAATATCACAGCTGCCTGAATGAAGCAAAGCTCCCTCACTCCCCAAATTCAGTGTCTCTACAGAACCCCAAGAAAAGAGATTAAACACTACATACACTGGTGTTTGATCCCCGCACAATGGGTGGGGGTGGGGGGCTGATGCTTATGCGCTGCACTCTTAGTACTAATGAAGCATTTATTAAGAAGTGACTGTGTATCAAATACTGTGCGAGATGCTACAATTACAAACCTGAATAATTCCCCCTGCAAGGGTTCACAGGAGTGGGTGGGAACAAAGTGGTGAAGAGAGTGGCAGAAGGTATGCACAGGGCCTGGGGAACACAGAGGAAAGGACAGTCACTTCTACCACAAAGGCCAGCAGAGCTGTCATAGGAGAGGTTCTATGAGCAAAGAGCAAGGCCTTCCCATGACAAAGAGGCATTTCAATGTGGGTGCTGCCAGTCAAGGCATGGAAGCCCAAGGCACAGAATTCATAAACTGTCAGTACTTCAGATTGATTCACATAAACAACACAAATCGGCCCCAAGCAGTGGTTCCTGAGCTACTGACCCATGTAGTAGGAGAGAGGCAATGAAAACCCTGCTTCTGGCAGTAGGACTGAAGCAAGGGAGAGTATTTAAATCTTGGTGGCAAAATGCCTCCTCCCTAAAATAGGCAATTGTATCACCAAACACTTATCTGCGGGAAATTATGCAGTTCAGGGTAGGAGATGTAGCTCAGTGGTAGGATGCTCACGTAAAACAAAACACCTAGTTTTGATCTCCAATATTACAAAACATAAAACAAGTCAAAAATAGGATAATGCAACTAAACACTGAGCCTCTTTTGAGAGAGGAAAAGAGGGGGGTTATACTTTATGACATCCCTAGACTTGGCTAAATTAATAATTACAGAAAGTTTCTTAAGGATTCAAGCAATTATATGTGGTGAATGTCTAGAATCCAGCATGTCAGTTTACCAAAGGCTGTCATCCTATTAACTTCGAAGAATAGTTGCCCTAAAAGAAAGGATCCAACACACATTTTAAAAAAGAAAAAAAGATCACACCCTTTAGAAGGAGTGGGGGGAGCACCAATCTCCCAGGATCACACACATCCTCACCACAAACTCCCATGCGGCCCATGCAGGCACGAGAAGGGTCACAGCTAGGTGAGGTTTAAAAGCTGCACCACTGAGCAGCGGAGGGAAAAATCACATTCCACTGCCCTTTCTTTCATCCGCTTTGATTCACAGTGGTCCTGGTCACAAGGGTGGGAGATGAGAGGATGGAGACACTGCAAAGGAAGGGCCACGAGCACACATCTGGGGCTCTCAGCTGTACAGCGCCCGCCTTCTAGCAGCTCATCCGTGCAGGTAACATGCTCCCAAATGGAGATGTTTTTCTCTTGGCTTCTCATTTATTGTTCAAAAATAGTAGTCCATGATAAAAGCAGCACAGGCTTTTTAAAATGTCTTTATCCACAGGGGCTCTTTTGGTAATTTAAAGGTTTTGAATGTTCGAGGTTTACCGCTGACAGGCAGAAAGCCGGTGATGGAAACAAGCCTTCTTAGATGTAAAGGGTACAATAACAGAGTACAGATATCATGCCAATACATTTATTTTCAGAGCTGTGGGTTCAACCAAGGGAAATACTGTGCTCAGGACAATCTGGAACACATAACACCCTCAAAGGAAGCCTGTACTTTTGCCTCAATTACAATGATAAATATCAGCAACAAGAAAAATGCGTAACTGGTAACCATGGCACAAAAAGAGCAGAGGGGGATTTGGTCAACTGTAGCATAGTAAGCACTGACTGAAAACAGATTGGGGGCCTGATTTTTTAAATGGGCATCTGGAATGATCAGCTCTTTTTGCCTCAGTTTTGAAACATGACAATGAAATGCTCAATTACAGTGCTTTAGGACTCATACTAAGGAAAATACATAAAGCGTCTTCGTAATGTCTGCATTATAAACATGAAATGGGTTTGCAAGTCATGCACGAGAGCAGGATCAAAACTGAGTGTCTAATAGTAATTTAGAAATGCATCATTATATTAAGAATGATAAAGGTAACTGAAAACATCACCAAATAGGCTCATTTGTCACTAAAAATACTCTTGGTTCCTCCATGTAAATAAGATTTCAAGGAGCTTTTTTTCTTTAACTTTCTTAAATTTCTTTTTTTTTTTTTAATTTTATTTATTTATTGTGTGTGTGTGTGTGTGTGTGTGTGTGAGCGCACGTGCGTGCGTGTGTGGCCAGCTCAGCCCACCAGGGGGCGGGGCTGGCTGGCATGTGGTGGTGGGGGATTGAACCGCGGTCCCTGTGCTTTGCTAAGCTTGTTCTAAGTAGGTGCTTTAGACCACTGAGCCATCTCACCAGCCCCTAACTTCCTTAAATTTCATAGATCTTGGTGATTGCTTCAAAAACCTACATGATGGGGCAGAGGAGATAGCTCAGTAGATTGAGTGCTTGCCTGGCAAGCAGAGTCCTCCTGAGTTCAATTCCCGGTACCACAAAAAAAAAATAAATAAACAAGAAAACCCAAAAACCTATGTGGTGGACAAAAAGATAAATATACAGCACCATCAACTGAGAGAACAAATCTTTTAACAACCTTGATGTATGGCAAATTAAACAGATCTCAATGCTTCTCATTATTGAAAAGTTACGCAGAACATGCTCAAGGTTTTAGAATCTAAAAATTACTTTCATTTTCATAGAAATGTTCCTTACTATTTAAAAACCAACTGTTTTTAAAGACTTATTTTAATTTGGAGGCCTTGTGAATATAATTCTAAAATCAAAAGAGCCCCCTCTCGATGGCATCATCCTATGAGCAGGCAGACATTTAAAAGGTCAGGCTGGAGATAACAAACACAAAAGAAAGCAGGAATAGACATAGTTTCAAGTCATGAGCAGATATGGAAAAATGTTAGGTTTTCCTCACCTGAATTTTCAATTCTTTTAAAGTTTGATTAGCAGAAACAAGAAGTGCTTTTTCACCGCGAACTTTTCTATGTCGCATACTTCGTCGGATGACTTGCTTTTGATAAGATATATAATTTTGATGGGATATCTTTTGCCGTTTTGTTCCTCCATTGCTCTATAATAAAGATCCAAAACAAAGAAAGCCCTGAAATTGTCCATAATGTGACGCTTGGTAGTAAAGTTTAACATACACAATGACATCCTGGACAGTTTAAATGCTCACATCTAATTGAATAAATGTTAAGTGAAATATACCTCTAAATACATGCAAGCAGTTTAAATCATTGTTATTACTTTTTTTTTTTTTTTTTGGCAGAACCGGGGATTGAACTCGGGCCCTTGCGCTTACCAGGGAAGTGCTTATTCTACTGAGCCATCTCCCCGGCCCCCTGTTATATTAAATATTGATGAGCAAAATTAAATGGGCACAACTCTGAGATGCTGGTGCAGGAGGCTCTTAAGTTCACGACCATACTAGATTACTTAGCAAGATCCAGCCTCAAAATACAATGTGCTAGGGAAGAACTCCATGGTAGAGTACTTGACTAGCATGCACCAAGCGCTTGGGTCCAACCACCAATACAAAAATAGGAAGGAAGGAAACTGAAAAATTACTAAATTTAGTTCATGAGTAATCTGAGTTCTAATTTTGTCTATTTGAGAATAACAAGTATGAACTGTTTGTGAATGTACCTTAATCAAGAATCAATTTTTTTGGCAGAACCAGGGATTGAACTCAGGCTGTCGCACTTGCCAGGAAAGTGCTTATTCTATTGAGCGATCTCCCCAGCCACAAGAATCAAAATTAACAAAAAAAACTTTAGCCACATAAGGTGACACAAAACTGTAATCCCTAAAGGTTGAGGCAGTAGGATCAGTGAGTTCAGGGCCAGCCTAGATGCCATTAGTGAGTTCAAGGCAAGCCTAAGTACACAGTAAGACCTTCTCTCCAAAAAAATAAAGACATTCTGCCTCTTGTCATACTAGTGCAATGTTTAGTTTCACCTAAGAACTGCTGTTACAAAATGTTAGAGGTGTCAAATACTTAGACCCAACTTGCCATTTTTACATGCAACACTGTCAAGGGCTTTAAGAATGGATTCTTGGAGGCAATCTGCTGAAATCCAGAATGTGAAAAAAACTGATAGGAAATCTAACTTTTTTCCAAGTCAATGTCAAGGAGAGGTAGGTTAGGGCAAATACTTGTGTAAGTGGTTAACAGTCAGGATCTGTCTTCTAACTCAGAGAATGAATCTAAGATTTATTTATTGATTTATTGTGTTTTAGGGGGTCTACAGGGTATTTAGTGTCTCATTACTAGATTGGACATGTAGTGATCGGCCTGTTTACAGCCTCCCAAGAGCTGGGATTATAGGCGGGTGCCACCATGCCCAGTCTCAAATGCCATCTCAGTGGCCCCTGGGAAGGGGCTGGAATAGCAGGCCCTGGAATCAAACACAAGGCCCCTGCACCTGCTTGCAGGCGCTCTAATCTGCTGAGCAATTTGGCTGGCCCGAATCTAAGATTTAAAAAATAAATAAAGGTCTTCTCTGCCCTAATAAAATCTGGATGAGGTGACTCTGAGGCCTCCCTCTGGTTGCACACTTGTCACTGAGTGTCAGCATGATGAGCACAGTGGCTTAGAGTGGCTCAAGTCACCATGGAGGCAAATGCCCCTGCTCATTAGCAACAGGGCTCCACACATCTACGCAGCAGCGGTTGACCAGGATGCAGACAAAAAGAACGTGGCTTTCAGAGCTGTACTTTGGCAAGGCGCAGCATAAACCTTAATTTCCATATCTACCCTTGTGTTTACACAGTTGTGCGGCTGAGCCCAACATTCATAAGAAAATGTTAAGCGAGCTTAGCAGGGTTTCTCTTTTTAAGCAGGTTTTTTTTTTAATTCAAAATTGATGGATTATTTCTCTCAATCTGAACTGCTGAAAAGGTCAAACTTAACTTATACTCTGCCACTGGAAAAAGAAAAAATATCTGTAGCAAGTTTTATTTCAGAATTATAAAACCAAACCAAAAAACAAAGCTCTGAACATCAACAAAGATAATTTTTAAAGACTGATTCTAAATAGGTCTAAAGGCTTTTTCTGGAATTATTTTCCATTAAACCCACAAAATTTAAATCCAACTTAACTGATAAAAACCAGCCCACTGGTTTTAGATGGATTCCAATTACCTAAGTAACATTGAATACTGAGTGTATTATTAACCTAAATTTTAGATAACAGAAGAACTGGGTTGATCTAGTGGAGGAGAGGGAAAGGGATTTGTTCAAGTCCATTAAGGACAAGTACAGATGCATCATTCTGTATTAAAGGGATTTACAACAGCAATTACAGAAGCCATCTATGTTTGGAGAGCTCTGGCATAAAGAAAGAGTGAGAGGAGGGACACACTTTGAAAAGGCAAGGGTGCTCTTCAGGGACTGACTACTCTTCAAAACAAAGGTTGGGCTTGAGATTTTTTTTTTATTTTTGTGAACCAAAAATATTTTAAACATCTTAGAGTATTACAACAGCCAAATAAGGACAGGGAATACAGAGCTAAATTATGAAGTAGAGAAGATAATTACAGTATAAAAAGCCATGTTCCAACATTCTCTATCGTATTTGTAAATGTGAAGGCTGTTGTCTGAACCGAAGAGAATAATTCCACATCTACTTTAAAACATGGCTGTGGTTATGGCCACAATGAGTAAAACCAGACATTCAAAAAAAATTAGCTGTTCACGATGTGAGGATATTTTGGGGGTTGGGCAAGGGAAATTCTGGAGACTGGATCCAAGGCCACATGCACACTAAGCAAGCACTCCACCTCCCAGCTAATCCACAGTCCCTGTAAGGCAACACAAACCTGTGTTTCCTTTTTTTTTTTTTTTTTATGGTGCAACCGGGGATTGAACTCAGGCCCTTGTACTTGCTAGGTAAGTGCTTATTCCACTGAGCCATCTCCCCGGCCTCTATGTTTCTTGTTTGAGACATGGCTCCCCTATGTAGCCCAGGCTGGCCTTGAACCCTCTCGTTACAGCATAGTCTGGCCTCCTCAAGCTTTCAGTGATCCACCTGCCTCAGTCTCCTAAGTGCTGGGATTAAGGTGTACACCCAACTATTTTCTAAAGAACTCTTAAAAAAACTGAAATGTAAGCTTGAAATACAGACAGTAAAATATCTATCAGCCTTAACAGGGTTTATCAAAGAATAGAAGATAAACTAGTGACTAATAGCAGTAACAGGTAAGGAAAAAAGGTGAGCTACACAATTAGTGTTAACACAGTCAGGCCTGGCAGTGTACACCTGTGAGCGTAGCACCCTGTAAGCTGAGGCAAGAACAACACAAGGTGCAGGATGGGCTATACAGTGAGTTTCATGGTCAGGCTGAACTACACAATGAAACCCTGCCCAAAAAAACAAAAACAAAAACAAAAAAACCCAACACTATATACTCAAGTGACAGTAATTAAAATCAATATGGCACTTCAAGCCAAGATAAGAATGCTGTTTTGACCAAGATGGGTATGTAATTCTATGTGCAAATGTGTATGTTCATGGCATGTGTATTAATATTTATTTGAAAATACATACCTTGGAATATGGTGATAAAGACATAAAACCAAAGTGAAACAGGTCAGAGGGCAGCAAAGCTGTGTCTACAGACTCAACAGACAGGGAGTCTCCCAACATGGTGGTACCTGTCTGTAATCAAGCACTAGGAAGGTGAGGTTGCAGGATCACTCCAAGTGCCAAGTCAGCATAGGAAAACCAGTGAGGTTCAAGACTAGCCTGAACTATAGCGAGAATTTGTCTCATAAAACCAACTGAGAAGGCAGAGTCATGTTAGAATGTTTGTCATCTCACAGGAAAAACCTGCACAGATGACTTAACGTAGGAAAACAATTCAGCCAAACTGAAAATCTACATTTTTTTTTTTTTTTTTTTTTTGTAGACTGTATAGATTTGGCTGGAAATTTTGTAGAGTGCATAAATTTGGCAGGGTAACATGAACCCAAGTGACTGATAACTGTTGGCAGACTGGGGAACAAAATTGTAAGGTTCTCTTTCCAGGTGTTGTAAGGTTATTTTATGAAATACCAACAAGACATAGGAAACAGATGACATTATTCTTTACAATTGGAAAACTACAACGAACTTACTTAGACAGCTTAAGGGTCACAACTTTCTAAATGCTAAAAATGAAGTAGTGTACCAGCCTATACGGGTGACAAGCCCAGACCTGTCTGCTTAGCAATGGACACTGCAGATGGCCATCACACCCCTTTTTCAAGAAGAATGCGGGCTGGTGAGATGGCTCAGTGGTCTAAAGCACCTACTTTGGGCTGGTGAGATGGCTCAGTGGTCTAAAGCACCTACTTAGAACAAGCTAAGCTAAGCAAAAGCATAGGGACCGCGGTTCAATCCCCAGCATCACATGCCAGCCAGCCCCGCCCCCTGGTGGGCTGAACTGGCCACACACACACACACAAAATAAATAAAATTAAAAAAAAAAAAAAATTCATCTAAAAAATAAAAAATAAAAAAAAAAATAAAGCACCTACTTAGAACAAGCTTAGCAAAGCACAGGGACCGCAGTTCAATCCCCCAGCACCACATGCCAGCCAGCCCCGCCCCCTGGTGGGCTGAGCTGGCCACACACACACACACACACACAAATAAATAAATAAATAAATAAAAAATTTCAAAAAAAAAAAGAAGAAGAATGCTATCCATAACCTGCCTACCTCATTTCATGGATATAAAAATTTTACCCATAAAAAAATAAAATTCAAAATATCTGTAGGATATCCTATGAACACAGCATCCTGACCTGCTGAGATGCTGAAGTTTATCTAAACCATACAATATCCAAACTCTTGCTCATCTTTTTTTTTTTTTTTTGTGGAACTGGGGATTGAACTCAGGCCCTCTTGCTTGCCAGGGAAGCACTTATTCTACCAAGCCATCTCGTGGCCCCTCTTGCTCATCTTATCTCCTGTTTTTAAGATACTTTCCTCTGGGCAGGGACAGAAAATTTTAATAGGAAACCCAAGAAACAAGTCAATTTTAATAGAAAATGTTATACTGACACAAAGGAGAAGACAACACATCCGCTGATCTGGTTATTTAACACTACAAAGAAAGACCAATCTTTTCCATATAATGCATTACTAAGGCTACTATTTATTTTGTAAGGCCGGAAACTGAGTTAAATACATTTTACCATGTACCAAGATTCCATGATGTGAAAGAATAGCAAGAGGAAACTTCTGGAAGAAGAACCATGGCTTTTCACAAGAAATCAGGACAGCGGTATAGCAAGCCACTAAAACTAAAAGTGGGAGGAGAGAAGCACCGCCCTAGCAAGGGCACAGAGAGAGGTCCACAGCCTGGAGGGATGTGGGGTGAGAGGTGAAAGGCTGCATGCTGATTCTTCTACATGAAAAGCAGGTTCAACACATACTTGATTAAAATCTGGATCCTTTTCTCCGTCTGGTTTAGCTTCTTCTTTGTCCTCCTCTGTTTCAGAACTGCTCACATTTAGCTCTGGAGCTGAATCCTTCATCACCTGCATGTGCCAGGACCAGAGAGAGAACCAGGTCAAGGTCAGCAACCAGGAGGGTAGGGGTTATTGGGGCACACAGTGCCTGTGACTTGCAGCCTACGTGAGAGAAAGTCACCTTTCTTGTGACAGGACAGGTGGGAAGGATGGACCAAGAATCCTATGCTGTTTTCTTTATTATCTTCAAATTAGTCTAACCTTGTGACTACTCTTTTATTTAACACTCATAAAAAAAGAGGTCTCTGATGAGCAGGTATAATCAGCCTTTAATAATGATGTTCTTTTTGCAGAAATTCAAAGGCACTTTACCCTTGTCAAGCCTTTTCAATCAAACCCTGAAAACTGCTGAGGTGACAGGAGTCACAGAGCTCTTTAAGAAATGAGAAGGGAAGCTGGGCACAGTAGCACATCCCTATAATCTCAGCTACTTGAGGCTAAGGTAATAAGATCTCAAATTCAAGAGCAATGTGGGCAACTTAAGAAGACTCTGCTCAAACTTTAAAGAATTAACAGGGCTAGGGGTGTAGCTCTGAGGTATACTGCCTTTCAAGCCTGAAGCATGGACTTAATCCCTCAGGACTGCCAAAAATGAAATGGGGAAATGAACAATAAAGAAATTGTTGGGTATGACACTTCGAAGGCCTACTATTAGATTCAAAATAATGGAACATCAACAAACTGGAATACTTTCACACTATATACCACTGTATATATGTATTAAAAGGTATAAAAGATTTAAGGACACTTTAGGGGAAAGATACTTGTATTATAGTTATGAGATGAAGATCTTAGTTTTAACTTGTGCTGCAGAATGCCACATGTATGAAGAAAAATTTTTAAGTTTCTTTGTAAAACTGATAACCAGCAAGCTGTTTTGTTTTGAAGCCATAAAACAATGGGATGATTGAGATGTCCAGAGTTGCACATAAAGACATCCTCAATAGCCAGTATTAATACAATAAAAATATTCGATGCACACTGTCAACTTTCCCTTCTTAAGACTCCAAATTGGGCCAAGGAAATAGTTCAGTAGAATAAGTGCTTGCCTGCCAAGTGCAAGGTCCTGAGTTCAATACCCAGTACCGCAAAAAAAGCAAAAAGACTCCAAATTCAATGGCCAGGGTCACTGCCCCACACCCCATGCCTACAACCACAGGTGCCTGCTACCACACCTGGCCAGGGTGACTTCTGTGGTTCTTACGATGCAGCTTGCATATACTCAGGCTTTCTTGGCTTTTGTTTTCTACAATACTTGTTCCAAGCTGTGCCCCTGATAGTGAGTACAGCTCAAATAATATGCTCCTCTACGCAGACCACCCTGTCTACTCCCTCACTGCCGTCAGTCTCTTGCTGGACCCTGCGAGACGTGCTGCACAGACTTGTCCCATGTGAAATCACTGTGTGTGTGGCTGAGCTCAGTGAGTCTGCTGTGTCCATCACAACAGCCCCAGCACTCAGACCATTCTTGGCCCTGAGCAGCTAACATTCAGAAGCATGTACCAAATAATGACAAAGCAAATCCACACACCTAACTACTCATTTTCAACTCTATCCAATTCTAAGTTTGATGCCAAATAGCAAGATTTACCATTACTTGGTGCAGTCACAAGAAGGAGCAGTAAGTACCTTTTTATTGTCTACAACTTTGTGGACATAGATGGTGGCCTGAGTGTACTCCCGCAAGTCCCTCTGCTGCTGGCAAAGAAGGCCCTCTCTGCAGTCAGGACAGAGCTCTAAAAAAGCAAGGCACAAGTGGCTGAGGAATCACTGTCAAAGGACTGAAGGTGAAAAAGCATATATAATTTACAAGAGCATATTCATTAAACAATTACATTAATTGTTCTGCTGCTGTATGCAAATGACCTCTACCAGGTGATTCATTCTCATGAATGAGATGTTATATGGCAGAGGCTGTCTGGGTAGCCCAGACTGCCACAGACCTATTTTTTTTCCCCCAGTGCTAGGGATTGAAGCTAGCACCTAAATAGTAGGTAAGGGGCCTATACTATTAGCCCCAACAATATCAACTTTAATTTCAAGCAGAGGATACAATATTGAAATACCCTTTCTTCCCCCACCATAAGTATCAACATTTAACTGTAGAAACCAGATGCAGGGGCTGGAGAGATGGCTCAGTGGTCTAAAGCACCTACTTGAAACAAGCTTGACAAAGCACAGGGACCGCGGTTCGATCCCCCAGCACCACATGCCAGCCAGCCCGCCCCCTGGTGGGCTGAGCTGGCCACACACACACACACACACTAAATAAATAAATGTAAAAAAATTAAAAAAAAAAAAAAAAAAAAAAGAAACCAGATGCAATAGTATTAAAACTTACTAGGTTCAGAAATATACTGTGTTTCTGAAGGGCTTGCATCTCCCACTTCAATTCTTGTGATTTTAATTACATGATCGACAACAAACAGCTTTTGTATCATCTGCCACTCGCTGGGCCATATCAGAGCTATACTGTGCAAGAAAAAAGCACATTCCTTAAGATACATGGCAGTTAAGAACCCTAACTCTCAATGAGAAGATTCGTACTAATAGTGTTTGGACAGGATATCATGTCTGCATCTTATACTATGAATAACTACTACAAAGACAACAATATGCAATGTATTCATCATTGTAACTATCCTACTAACATGTTTTGAAACTGTCTCATTGCTATTTGTTTCTCAATAAAATAAAGGAACCCTAACTCAATCCCAAACCCTCAATGCCTACATTTAACACAAAGACACTAATGGGGAAAGATTCATTAGTATCAATGAGGTCTAGTTCTCTAAACAAAGCAGCGTTAGACCAGCAGTTAAAATAAATGAGGACACTAAATTAATCAACTTGACTAAATAAAATAACAAGTTGAGTAAGGTAACTAATTGGAGGGTAAATACAAGGTATTTTTCTCTTTTTTCAGTGTTTCTTCTTAAAGGACTTTTCTCAGACTAGTAATTCTCAAAAATTAGGACAGTGCTTAATTTGAAAGAAACAGGAAACAAAAGGTAGAAGTGGATGAAAGGATAAAGAATTTAGGAGCCTTCAATTACATTTGAATTCAGTAATCTTTTAAAAAACTGGACAAATTTACTTGCTTATCAGAGGTATTCCCCACTAAATGCTGTATGGCATTAACAATAAGAATGGAAACAGAGAGAAGAGCTAGGGAAAAACCTAGAAGAAAATTTATGTTAACTTTGAATTTAAGTTTTTTTTGGTTGGCTTTTTTGTTTTTGTTTCATTTTTTTCATCCTGAGTGTGGGGATTACAGGCATGTTCTTCAGATATGAATAGTTTGGTGCAAAAAGAATTTATTTCCTTTTAAACACTGGGGATCAAAACCCAGGGCTTCACACATTCCAGAACTGATTTACCAGCCCATCCAGCCCTGCGATTTTTATGTTCCAATTTTTTCCTCCCCAGCTTTTCTAGTAATGTTAAAGACATACTACCAACTCTTAACAAGGTTGTCTTAAAATTATTTTACAGGCCAGGTGTAGTGATGCACACCTGTAATCCCAGCACTTGGGAGGCTGAGGCAGGAATATCACTGTGAAGAGACCAGCTGGGGCTACAAACTGCGCTCGAGGCCAGCCTGAACTACAGAGAGATCCTGTCTCAAAACAGTAAAATTAAAGAAAAAAAATTTAATTTAAAAAATTAAATTCTACTGAGGGAGATGGCTCAGTAGAATAAGCGCGTCCCTGGCAAGCGCAAGGGCCTGAGTTCAATGCCCAATTCCGCAAAAAAAAAAAAAAAGAAGAAGAAAAAGAAAATTTCAAAAAAGTAAAATTATTTTACCTCCCCGCCAAGAGGCAACATGAAGGGTAAGGTTCACAGGTGAGTCCTTTCAAGAAGGGCTTCATGTTTGGAATTTAATTGATTAGAATTCCAGGTTGAATCCAGGGATAGTCTTGAACCCTTGTAATCCCAGCACTTAGAAGGCTGAGGCAGGAGCGCTGCTTCCACTTTGATGCCAGCCAAGGCCACATAGTGAAAGCCAGTCTGAACACAGTGAGATTAGCCAAAATAAAGGATCTCACGTGACCAGCTCAGTAGCTTCCCATGCTTCGGCTGGGCAGCTGAAGAAAAAAAACAAAAAAACCCCAAAACCAAGTATAACCAAGGCTGTGTTGATTACATGATGCTGGAGAGGTCTTCTGTCTAGAGGCTCAAAGCCGGCTACCACTGGCCTGGGTGGAACGAAGGAGCTCCTTCTGGTTATTTGGAAAGTCGAGGAGTGAGGAGTAAAGAAAAAACAGCCTTGTGCCTTTATCTGGAGAAACAGTCTGGTCTCTGGAAAGAAAAGTGCTCATTCGAATACAGGAAAAAGGAAAAAGCTTGTGATCTAGTGAATGACTCCATGCTTAGAACTGCTCACCCCGGGGAGCATTCTCAAGCGTTTTGTTAATCATTAGAAACAAAACCACATGAAGAGAAGAAACTCACAGTTTAGAATCTTCTTTGGTCATAGAAGCAAATGTAAACATAAGCCCCCCGTGGGGACACAGGAGGGCACTATTTCCAACCGATGACACAGGACTACACCTTGTAGGTTTCCTGTGCAAGTGAGACAAAGAGGACAAATGTACCTCATTATTGAAGAAAGGAAGATTTTAAAAATAGTTCTTCAAAAACAAGACAAGCATAAAGGGTTATTAGCAACTAAATGGGTTTCTGGCAGTTATTTATTCAGCTTTATAGAAAAGAGAGTTTTCAGTGCACCTTGGTTAACATGACCAAGAAGTGAGCCACAAATAAAAGTCATAAATTCTTAGGAAAAAAACAACTAAAGTCAACATCCCCAAAGTAAGAAATTTCTGGTTTCTACCTAACAAATTTCCGCCATTCTTCTACAAAGAACTGTGACACGATGTAGAGGACATCGGTATCCTGAAACATAAAAAAATCCACAGAAAAAAAACACATTAATTCTCTCCACACAGTCATATGCCCTATGCTACATCAGGAATTTGTCAATGTCATTTCTCAGTGGAGAAACTCTTCCCTTTGTGGAAATCGTTATACCTCTGGCCAGTTACTTAGACATGGTCTGTTTTTGTCCTGGAACAAATTCGGAAGAGAAGTCTTTTGCTCGTTCGCGATCATCTTATGTAAGGCTTCATTTTCTTCCCCTTCTCTTTCTAAAATCTGAGAGAAAACGAAGCAATCAGCTGTCTCCTGCTGACAGTAGACGGCCTGCCTCCTCCCCACACGCCCATCGGGTACACCGTGTTAATGCTCTTGGCAAGTCACCCCGGGGAGGTGGCGAGCCATTCCCCGGCGTTGGTGGAGAGTTCAGTACCTTGCACTGTGAACAGCACTCTCTGTAACTCGGAAACTCAGGAGCCTTTGGGAAGTACTGTTGCAATTTGCTCCACGCCTCTTTAGAAACCAGCCTTCGTTCGTTTTCAGAGATGCACAATTCCCCTGAGATTAAAAAAGAATCAATTGTATGGGTAAGTAAAAAGGATGGGGAAAGTTAGTACCTATCTCTTATTTTATGAACTTAAAGATATATCCTCAAATCTATTTCCTAATACTACTGCTTCTTTAAATTTATGAGGGCTGGTGAGATGGCTCAGTGGACTAAAGCACCTACTTAAAACAAGCTTAGTAAAGCCCAGGGACCACGGTTCAATCCCCCAGCACCACATGCCAGCCAGCCCCGCCCCCTGGTGGGCTGAGCTGGCCACACACACACACACACACACACAAATAAATAATTTATAAATTTATGAAAAATTCCTCAGTAGTCTTATTTCCAACAATATCTACAGTTTGCTCCTTCCTGGTTACTCATGCACGTATGTGAGCACACACAAGAAACTAAATCAAAAAAAAAAAAAAAAAAAAAAAAAAAAAAAGAAAGAAACTAAATCCTCTCTAAATGTTTAATTTCATTTTAATTCTAAAGGAGAAAGCTACCAATCTCCATCTTAAATCCTCAACCTAAGTCTGTGGTTGGAAAAAGAAAAAATATCAGGAGATACAGCCAAATGCACAATGACTAGATGCATGCACTCTTCAGTCCTGCCTGCCAGTCAAGCAACAGTGAACAGAGGCTTCCAGGGCTCCCGGATGGCTGAGCCGCAGCAGGGGTCATGTGTTTCCTCCACTCAAAGGTCAAAATCCCATGCTGACTTTACTCCATTTGAATGTTAGTGAAATCAGCCTGCAGTGAAACAACATTTTCATGGCTGTGTAGATCTCACAGGCCTATTCTCTTGAAACTATCGATTCAAAGATAGGTGATAATGCAATCTACCAATCAATCTGAAAGCCAGGAGTCAAGATCCAGTTTCTTTGCTAACTCCCAGGAGACAATGGTATCACCTTGCCTGTTCTCAGAGGATCTCAGGAATGCCAAGATCCCAGCAGGCGGCACTCTCAGTCCCTTTCCCAGCGTGGCTTTCCTTGAATTGCTTTTTTTTTAAAGAAAGGGTCTGGCTATATACCTGTGGCTGGCCTGCAGCGTCCCAAATCCTCCAGTGATGGGATTACAGACATGTACCACATCCAGCTTGTTCACTGTTCACTTACAATGAGCTACACCGCACATAATAACCTAAGAATCAGAGTGATGACTACAGCAGGTTCACCACAGAAAGTACAACGAAAGCTAGTACATTGTCCGTGTGTTCCATCTCTTCCCCGTAATTTCTATTATCACAAAGTGCAGCTTCCTAAATTCCAGCTTGTACAATTGTTTATACAATCAAGAATATTTTCATTTTAATATACTTATTATCAAAGAAATTTTGGTCACAGTACAGGACTCTACTTTCTAAAGCTCTTCATTTAAATTCTCTTGGAGGCCATAAACACTTACTCCAACAAGTCTATACTCAGACACAAATAAGACATTAAAAAGGAAATTTAATTGGATTCTTAAATTCCATTGAGTACATCCCTGTGGTGAAGAAATGCACTGCAGCCACAGGTAGAAGTCATGATCTGATTTAGCTCAAAGAACTCCAAGCCAATCACTGTGTAATGTATAGAGCAGGCTACTACCTTTTCACCTTTTTTAAGAGCAGTGCACTGGGGTGGTAGCTCACTGCGCAGCACACTCCTAGCACAATCGTGGAACCCCAGCACAATCACTGCACTACGCTGAACCCCCAGCGCTGTGGATGTAGAGAGCCTGGTGCACGAAGAGCAAAGGCAGCCTGTGCAACACTTTGAAATGAAAACCTCCTTTTAAAAAAAGGGCTGATGATGCAGCTCAGTGTAACGGCCTTGCATTCAGTCCTTAGTATTGCCAAATAATATCAAGTAAGTAGGACTTTTTCCTTGTGTGTGCATGTTACAATCCCACCAGGCAAAAATGAAGGGCCTGACAATACAAACACACACTTTCATATGTTAATCAGAACAGGGGCTGTGGATGTAGCTCTGCAGTACACCATCTGCCTAGAATAGCTGAGAGCCTGGGCTGGTGCACCTCGCACTGACCCCACCCATATTCACCCAGAGAATTCCACAGGAACTGAAGAGGCACTGCCTCTTGTGGATTTTTGGTAGTGACTAGCATTTAGGTGGGATGAACTTTAACATGATTAAAGAAAGAATACAATTCTAGCAACTATTTTTTTTTTTTTTTTTTTAAAGAGGGGAATCTCTGTGTAGCTCAGGTTCGCTTTGAACTCAATTATATAGCCCAGGTTGGCCTTCAACTTGCAATCCTCCTGCCTCAGCCTCCAAGAGTTGCAGTTAAAGAGTGTGCTACACACCAGGCTCTACTAATTAATTTTACAGAAGCCTAGCAGGCAGTCGACCATCATTTCTCTACATGTACAGTGCATCTTAACCAACCTTCATTTCTTATCACATTAACATCTACTAGGATTTTAAAAATTTGGATGATACCTATGACCTAAATAACTTTTGCTTATCACAATAGCATTTTATAAATTAGAAAACAAAAACATTTAAATCCTATAAACAGTATCTTCCAATAAATAATAAATTAGCAGTGAGAGGTTCAATTTACTAAATATAATGCACTACAAAATTTGCTAGTAAAAAAAACCATCTAGGGCTAGAAAAGTAGTTCAGTGTTAGAACACTTGCTTAGCATGCACACAAGCCCATGAGTTCAATCCCCACTACTAACATAGAAGTGAGTTTAGATTATGGATAAAAGACCCTCAACCACTAAAATGTATTTCAAACAACATTTAATTGGGTCACAAAGTATCCACGTGGGATCTTCAAATTGTGTGTTTATTATGTGAAAAAGTACTAAGGCTTTGGAAATACCTAGCAGATTTGTTGTTAAAAAAAATACCATTTGTGACAGGTGTGGTAATGCACATCTATAATCCCAGCACTCTGGAGGCTGAAGCAGGTAGATTGTTGTGCATTCCAGGGCAGCCTGGGCTACAAACTGAGATCAAAGCTAGCCTGAATTACATAGTACCTGGCTCAAGAGGGGGGCAGGGTGGGCAGGGAGATGGAGGACAGGAAGGATGGGAGGGAACGGGGAGAACACAAGTAATACAACTCAAAACAAGGACTTAAAGCCTGGTACAGAAGTATAGAACTGTATCCTCAGATACTCCAGAGGCCAAAGAAAGATTACTTAAGTCCACATAAGCATTTTGTCGCCAGCCTGGGCACCATGGCCACAAGACATCCCAGAGAGAACAAGCCTACAGGAATTGCACTTAAAAGTGGTGGTGATGGCAATGTGTATACAGTGCTGGGGATCAAACCAACAACACCTCAGCTATGCCAGACAAATACTATATCCTCCTGCTCTGCCACAACTCAGTTTTTTTTTTTTTTTTTTTAATTTATGTGTGTGTGTGGCCAGCTCAGCCCACCAGGGGGCGGGCTGGCGGGCATGCGGCGCTGGGGGATTGAACTGCGGTCCCTGGGCTTTGCTAAGCTTGTTCTAAGTAGGTGCTTTAGACCACTGAGCCATCTCACAAGCCCCAACACAACTGAGTTTTTAAACTACATTTATTTGAAACCTGATGGCCCAGTCTATAAGACCAACATTCAGTAAGGCTGGTGCTGCAGGGCCATAGAGTTCGCATGGAAAACACGGAAGGCAAGCCTGGACAACTTAGAGACGCAGTGACACTGCCTGGCAATGTAGGGCTGGGAATGTGGCTCAGTGAGAAAGCTAGGAGTTCAGTCCCCAGTTTGAGAAGAAACCAATTAACTTTCATTGCCTCCTACTGAGCATTCATAAGCTTGTCAACAAATGCCTGAGAAATTAGATGTATAAATAGCCCTAACAGGCCCTGCAACATAGCTCAGTGGACTAAGTGACTGCTTGGCAAGCTCAGGAACTGGGGTTCGGAACCCCTGCTCCCAGGCACACTGAGCCAGCCACCATGTCCAGCATGGTGGCACACGCCTGTGATTCTAGTGCTGGGGAAGCTGAAAACAGGAGAAATCACTATGAGTCTGTGCTGCATATTAAGACCCTGTACCAAATATATTAAAAGAAAAGGAAAAAGAATCCCTAATAATGTGAAAGACCCAGAGTGTTCCAGCTGGACAAAGTCACACAGTCACAGGAAACAACTCATGTTCTTTCTTCCTTTCAAATTAAAAATTCAATGTCACAAGTAAAACGTTTCTTCTCCACTCAATTCAAATAGTGAGGAAAGGGTACCATTTTAAGTAAAGAAGGTTAGGGTTTGGCATGACACCTGCTAATAGAAATTAACAGTTACATGAGGAAAAAGTGAAAACACTGAACATAAGCACAGTACATAAAACCAATTTTTGGGCCAGGGAGATGGCTCAGTAGAATAAGCACTTGCCTGCAAGCGCAAGGGTCAGAGTTCAACCTCTGGTTCCACCAAAAAAAAAATAAAAAAAAAATCCCCAAATGCCACTTAGGCTTGGTTCCTAAGAGAAAGAAGAGTTGAACAAACATTTATGGTTCACTATAGTACCAGAAGATTCTAGCTTACCGTGTGGACACAGAATATCTTCGTTAAAATTTAATTCTTCTTCTTCTTCTTCTTTTCTTTCCTCTTTTGATTCATCTAAAGAAATACAGATGAAAACTGTTCTAATTATGGTATTTAAAGGTTCGAAGTTGGCGTCACAGCACACACCTCCTAACCCCAGCACTCAGGAGGCTGAAGGAGGACAAGATTGAGTTTGAGGCCAGCCTGGGCTACAACAAAGTGAGTCAAGGCTAGCCAGAATTTCATAGTGAAATCCAGTCTCAAAAAATAGAACATAAAATAAAACAATCAAGCAGCAGGTAAGAGACACTACTGTCTTTACTGTGGTATCTATTTTAGTCAAGCATTCACTGTACATTTCAAGCCTTCAACGCCTGGCTACTCTGCCCTCTCAGCCTTAAGAGACAGAATCGCACCATACAGACCTTCTTTTGCTATTTGTTCAGAGACATGTCCTGAAGCTCACGATGCCCTCAACATCTAGCTCTCATCCCCCTTCAGAGTGTGGGGTTCAGAGAGGTGCACCTCTACAACTAGAAATTCTGCACAATGTTGAACGAAAATACCTTGAATTCTGAAAATTAGATTCAAATCATTCCTATGCAGTTCTGCTAAGTATTACATATCTTTCCTTTAAAAAGACAGAAAAATCCTAATGACATTTAAGTTTTTAAAGATTTAGGTTATGCAAGAAAAGGTGTCCTTTCTTCAAATTGGAAAAGGATTTATATATCTTCTAATCCTAGTCAAACTATGCATAATACTGCATCATAAACCAAATTAGTCATCTTTATGTCAAGTCATTTTCACCTACGTACTTTCAGCAAGGCTGAGTAGAAGACCTAACGCATAAGACATTAACTCTAAAAAACATAATACATAATAAGAACACAGCTATTCACATTAACATTTCTCTTTCATTTTCTGCGCTTCCTGTATTTCTAATAATATCTCACTGCCATTTATAGATCTGTGTCCTGGGAACAGGAACAACAAAATTTTTTATCACGTTAGGACAGTCATCCATGAGTTTTCCAAATTAAATACCCTAACAATTTTTTTTTTTTTTTTGTGGGAATGGGGATTGAACTCAGACTCAGGTCCTTGCGCTTGCCAGGCAAGCACTTATTCTACTGAGCTATCTCCCCAGCCCCCCTTAACAATTTTTAATGCACTTCATGTATGAGAAAATTTACTAACCACTAAAAAAACCCTCAACTACAGCTAGGAGGCATAGCTCTGCAGTAGTACTTGCCTAGCATGTGCAAGGACTTGGGCTAAATCCTCAAATGCAGAAAACCACGTGTGGCCAAACCACCCAGCCGCCACCTATATGTGTCAACACCCAAATGCAGGTAACTTCTCAAATGAGAGGACAATCAATCTCAATGGTTTTGGAAAACCCAAGCCTCAGGACTGTCAACTCATTTTCATGTATAGAATGATTAGGGCCAATGGCTGATTTATTCTATAGAGGCCAAAGCATGCAGAAAATAAGCCTCAAATACATTTTCTTTCGGACTTTTTGAGTCAGAGTCTTGCTATGCGGTTTAGGGTGGCATTGAGCTCCCTTTGTACCCCAGTGACCTTCCTGCCTCAGTCTCCTGAGTGCTGAGATGACAGCATTGTGCCACCACACCCAACTTCCCTAATGTATTTTCTAGGATTTTTTTTTTTGGCTCCAAATGCCTTCAGGGCAGATTTGGCTGGCTTCAGTTGTAGGGATCAAACCACAGCAACCAGAGCCTGATTGCTTTGTTGAAGCAGCCACTTAAAGAACTGAGCTAAGGGGCAGGCCCCCCTCTAATGTATTTTCTAAAGGAAATGGGGGGCTGGTGAGATGGCTCAGTGGTCTAAAGCACCTACTTAGAACAAGCTTAGCAAAGAACAGTGACCGTGGTTCAATCCCCCAGCACCATATGCCAGCCAGCCCCGCCTCCTGGTGGGCTGAGCTGGCCACACACACAAATGAAGAAGGAGAAGGAGAAGAAGGAGAAGGAGAAGGAGAAGGAGAAGGAGAAGGAGAAGGAGAAGGAGAAGGAGAAGGAGAAGGAGAAGAAGAAGAAGAAGAAGAAGAAGAAGAAGAAGAAGAAGAAAAAGGAGGAGGAGGAGGAGGAGGAGAAGAAGAAGAAGAAAAGAAGGGAGGAGGAGAAGGAGAAGAAGAAAAGAAAAAGAGGAGAAGGAGAAGAAA